TGATGATGGTGGTGGTGATGATGATGGTGGTTGTGGTGATGATGATGCTGATGCTGATGCTGATGCTGCTGGTGATGATGATGCTGATGGTGGTGATGATGATGATGATGATGATGAAGACGATGATGATGATTATGATGACGATGACGACGATGATGACGATGGCGGAGCAGATTCTGAGGATGCCTCGAACGAGGCGCGCGTTTCAGCAGCCCCAAGGGGGGAGCAGCCAAGGGGTATCTCACACCTCCGTTCGCGCCACAATGGCGGGGATGTCTCGAGCGGTTTGCTTGTTTGCTGCCGTAACGTGTTTTTGGTGCAGATTTTGAGGACGTCTCGAGCGAGGCGCTGGTTTTCGCCCCCAAGGGGGGGCCGCCAGGGGGTATTGCACTCCTCCGTTCGCGCCCAGTTTGCGGTGATGCCTCGAATGGTCTGTTTGTTTTGGTTCTCAACGTCCTTTGCTTTCGGAGCATATTCTAAGGATGTCTCGGGCGATGCGCTGTTTTTCGCGCACCTGGGGGCGTAGATCGCGAGGATGTCTTGCGCGGTTTGCCTGTTTTGCTGGCGAGACTCGCTTGCGTTCCGAGCAAATTCTGGGGACGTCTCGGGCGAGGCGCTGGCTTTCGCACCCTAGGGGGGCCCAGCTGATGAGGATGTCCCAGACTCAATTATGCTCAAATTCACTCGTGCTCAGACGCACTCATATTCAGACTCGTACTCTTCATACTCATACCCAGACTCACTCACACCTAGACTGATTCACACTTAGACCCACTCATCCTCCGACTCACTCCTACTCGGGCCCACTGAGACTCAGTTTCGTATTCCCCATACACATACTCAGACGCATTCACGCTCAGACTCACTCACACTCATAATCACTCACGCTCAGACCCACTTGCCCTCATATCCACTCGTAGCCAGGCTTACTTGTACTCGGACCCATTCAGACTCAGACTCGTACTCGTTATAGTCATACTCGCACTCACCCACACACAGGCTTACCCACACTCAGACTCACTCTCGCGCAGACTCGCTCATACTCAGACTTCGCTTTCTCAGACCCACTCGTATTCAGACTTCTCATGCCGAGACACACTGACCCTCGCACTCAAGTGCACCCGGGTTCGCTCACATTCAGACTCGCTCACTCTCAGATCATTCATACTCATATTCACTCAGTCTTCTCCCCTTTTGTGGTCCAATAGCCCCTCGCTCTTCCACTTGTGCTTTCCTCATCTCTCCTGGGAGATGTCCACTGAAGTGAAGTCGTCGCTGTCGCCGTTGTCGTTGTCGCGCCCCTCGTCCACGCACACTCGCTCTAACATTCCAGTGCTCACAGACAGAGTTCCTCATCGAGAAGCGACATAACTATGATATGCTTATATGGGGAACTCCACGCAGTGAATGATTCCAATATCCTGAGGATGAGGTTCTTGGTCTCCATATCCAAAGGGTGAGGTTGATGTTCTTATTCTACCCCCAAGGGGGAGCCGCCATGGGGGTACCTCACTCCTCCGTTCGCGCCAACATGGCGGGGACATCTCGGGCGGTTCGACTGTTTTGGGCCGCGACATCCTCCGTTTTCGGAGCAGATTCAGAGGATGTCTCGGGCGAGGCGCTGGTTCTCGTCCCCAAGGGGCGGCCGCCAGAAAGGGTGCGTCATTCCTCCGTTCGCGCCCACATGGTGGTGATGTCTCGAGCTGCTTGCCTGTATTGGTGCCCAACGTCTTCCGCTTTCAGAACAGATTCTGAGGATGTCTAGGGCGAGGCGCTGGTTTTCGCACCCCTGCGGGCACATCTTGCGAGGATGCCTCGAGCGGTTTGCATGTTTTGCTGGCCAGACTCGCCTGCGTTCCGAGCAAATTCTGGGGACGTCTCGGGCGAGGCGCTGGCTTTCGCACCCCAGGGGGGCCTAGCTGACTCAGTCATGCTCAAACTCACTCGTGCTCAGACCCACTCATATTCAGACTCGTACTCTTCATACTCATACCCAGACTCACTCACACCCAGGCTTGCGCACACTCAGACTCACTCGCACTTGCACCCACCCACCCTCCGACTCACTCGTAATCAGACTCACTCGTACTTAGAGCCATTCAGACTCAGTTTCGTACTCATCAGGCACATACCCAGGCGCATTCACATTCAGACTTACTCGCGCATCACTCACACTCAGACCCGCCCGCCCTCATATTCACTCTTAGCCAGGCTCACTCGTACTTATACCCATTCACAGAATCAGACTCGTACCCGTTATAGACATACCCATACTCACACAGGCTTACCCACATTCAGACTCACCTTCGCCCAGACGCACTCATATTCAGGTGTACGCATTCTCAGACCCACTCGTACTCAGACTCTCTCATACCTAGGCCGACTGGCACTCACACTCCACATCACCAGGGCCCATTCACATTTCAGACTCATTCCAACTCATATCGCTCACGCTCAGATTCTCTTCGTCATCGACGTCGACCTCGACGTCGACCGTCGT